TGTTTTAAGGAGGTAATTTCATCCCTGGCTTCTGCCCTGGTGTGAAGCAAGGTGGGAGCGAGAGGGGCCGTAGGCTATGGGTCTACACTTCATGGCTGATCATCTGCAGTGAATTAGCAAAGCTCTGCCCGGTGTGTTAATGGCAGACTCGGCTGACACCCTTGGGATTCAAACCGAGCACCTGCCACAGAGTCGGTCTGGATTTTTTTGTCCCAGGCAATATTAGAGATTAGATCTGGATATCTTCCCTCCCTAATGCTCAGGCTAACAGCAGCGGGTTCAAAGGATTTATTTGGTTTGGCCAAAAAGAAAAAAAAAAAAAGGTGATTTGGGTTGGCAGAAACATTGCTTCTCAACAAGGAAAATCACCCCAGGTTGAATGATGGGTCATTCCAATGAAACAAGGCTGAAACTGTTCACTGAAACTATTTTGAAGCTGGTGAATTCTGGTTACTTGCAAACCCTGCATTTTTGGCAAGTTATCTACTCCCCCTCAGCTCCAGAGAATATAAAGCCCCTGCTTATCACCTGCTTTGCCTCCAGCATTGCAGCATTTTTCACTTGTTACATTTTCACTTGCTGACCAGTTTCTGAAGCGGCAGGGCTTGAGGGTAGAATTTGGTGATCAGAGCATTTTTCTAAACACAGCTTGCATTAATCAAGTTTTTGTCAAAGAACCATATAATTCATGGTGTATGAACACACCAGGAGTTCATACAAAGTTTTTATTGTTCTCTATTGTCAAAGTTGAACCGAAATGCTCTCCCCGTAATTTGTAAATAGAGGAGTTAACACTTCACAGAAGATCAAAGAGGAAACAATCTAGATAAAAAATAATCCTGTGAATTTGGCTTTCATTTTGCTCCCCAGCCAGCAGCATTTGGCCAATATTTTGTCCCCTCTCTTTGAACAAGTGCTATTAAAAAGTAAACGAAAAATTCTTGCCTTATAGGAAGTGCTTGAACAGGAAATTCACCTTCACATCATTTCCCGGCTGTTATAACATTGGCTTTAGCAGAGAAGGGAGAAGTGGAGGGGTGAAGTGCACAATCGTTTTTCTTCGTCATAAACACCTTTAGGACACTGAACCAAGAAGAGCAACTAGCTACGAGCTGAGGTCGGGAGGATGGCTGATTTGTAACTTTGATACTAGCTACTAAAATTGAGAAGGAAGGGGGAATAAAAGCAAAAGAGGTCACAGTTCTGTAACACTGACAGTAACACACAGGTGATGGGCGCTGTCAACATTATAAACTATATACAAGACAAAGCAGGACTCCTTCTTTTCCCAAAGAACGCAACAACAACAAAAAAAGGTGTATATAACACAGTTGGCACGTTATCGCGGGGATGAGGAAAAGGGGCTTCTCCTGAACATTACAGGCTTGACTCATGGCAGTCCAGAAGACAGTTCATCTGTCTAAACATACATCCTCTCCCCTTTCCTCCTTAAATATTTAGCGAAGACCAGGCCAGTAGTGATGTCTGATGCAATCGTGGTGCTAATAAGACGTTAATAAATGCAAAGTTTTCCCTGAAAGGGAGCACCTTACTCCGGGAAGAGATGAGGATGGGTGGGGGTTCAAAGAGTGACATGTCTAGTGCCAACCTCTGGTGCATCCTCTCATGGGCAATGGTAGCTCATCTGGCAGTCAGTTGGGTAGGGTGTCAAGCCCAAGGGACGCCGCGTGCTGCTTTGCCCGGAGCCTTAGGTTCTCAATACTCGTCGTTTTACTGTTCAGGCTTGGAAGGGAGCTGGAAGCCTGCAGGATAGGTGAGGACCAGACCTGCTGAGCGTGGGAGAGCGACTGGTAGTACGACTGACAGTGCAGGGAGCTCAGTGGTGCCATGTTGACGTTCATGCCCAAGTAGGGCATGGCAGACGGTGTCCCCATTTCGAAGGAGGAGTAATGGACCAAGTTGTTGGTGGCCGCCATGTGCTGGCGGAATTGCTCCTGCAGGCGGAAGAGGCTCAGGGGCGAGGAGGAGTAGGAGTGAGTCTGAGCCAGGCCACTGCTGGATGAAGGCGTCACAGTCGCGCTGATAGGGGACTCTGTAGCAGGAGACAGAGGGGATGGGGGTTATTTCTACAGGCTGGATGCAGGCGCTGATCCGCATCCCAGTAGGGTTCAGATTGCAGCATGGGTTTCTCTCTTGCGTCAGGAGGGTGAAAGAGAGGGGTTGTGTTAGCTCGGGAAGGCTAAACATGTCTGTTTCATACTTAGCATCTTAATTCCTAGAAATGGGGCTGACCTCTTTGCTACGACTTTCCTGCTGCTGCTGGGCGCCGTTCTCCCCAAGCTCTAACCTGAGCAGAAGGTCTTTGCTCCTTCTGTGCTCCTGCTACAATAGGCATCGTGCCTTCTGTGGGTCCCGTTTAGTGCTGGGGACAAGAAGACGAGTCTGGGCAGCCTACCTGCAAGTACCCAAGCCACAGAGAATAAGGGACTATACCCAACCACCAGCACCCGTCTCGGTAAGCCAGGTCCTGACACCAACCCCCAACAAGATGCTGCCCCTCACCTGCTTTTGGGCTTGCTCTCTTGCAGTTCAAAGCCTTGCTGTCCACGCCAGGGCTCTTGTCCACTTTAGACTCATCCAAGGTGCTCTTAAACTCTTCCTCTCTGTCGGTCTGGTCTTCAGGCGCAGACTCACTGGCTGACTGCTCCGACAGGGTTAGGTTGAGATCCGTCCCTACCTCGCTCGGGAGGCTCTGGACCTTCTCAGTGTCTGGGGTGGTGGCCTGGGTCTCCAGCATGGGTGGTTCTGTCTTTCCCTCACTGTGGCTCCCTTCACAGTCCTTCTGCTTCTGCAGCTGCTCCTTCTGCAGGCTACGCTGCTTCTTCCGGAATTTGGCCCTCCGGTTCTTGAACCAAACCTTCAATGCCACAAACAGCAAGAGGGAAAACTGGTAAAAATCCTGCTTAGTGCCAAATTCAGCATCATTCAGCCTGGGAGCTTCAGGAAAACCCCAAGTAATGAGGTACTGCAAGCCCACTGAGCCCAAATATCATTCTGCCTCGTTGGATGTTAGATCTCTACCTGTTTTCAGTGCTTCTACAAATAGCACAACAAATATATTTGAAATAAAAACCCAGCCTTCATGTTGATTCTTTAAACCAGTCCACCAGTATTGGGGGGGGGGAGGGTGGGGTGTATTTCTAAATTGGTCAGGCAGTTGCATCCAACCAGAATGTCTTATAGCTGAGACTGATGACATTACATTGGCTTACAGTACAGTGCTCTGTTACTTTCTAAAACCATTTGGTTCTAAGTGTACCAAAACCGTGGCGGCAGCACTCAAAGTGTCATTACAGGCATAGCCTGTCATCTGGGAACTGAATTTAGGGAAGGAGGAGAGAATCCATTTTTTTTTAACCTAAATCTGTAGACAGGGACTGGAAGAAATATATTTGCAAATCTTGTTAGTTGTTTGATTAGTTAGATGAGGAAACAAAAATTTTGAAGATCAAAATGTCTAGACATTTATATAAAAGAACTATCTTTGTCTCTTACTTATCCACTTCACACTGAAGAACTTGCTTTTTAGTCTTTTAAAGCCCAGCAATGCAAGAACCTCCCCACCAGCAGGTTATGAAGCACCTTGTGCTAGTTGAAACAAACAAACAAAAAAAACCCCCAAACCCAAAACTAAACCTTGGCCTGAGATGTTACAAATATTGACACTGGTGGAAAAGAGCAGCTGGAATTACTTGGGTTTCTGCTGTTCTGAGAAAGCCAGAAAAGTCTTGCAAATAAATAAATAAGTAAACTTCTGTTGATGTTTCTAAAATTTCCCCCAAAGAAATGTGAAAGAACAAATGAAAACCAGTGTACGCTTCAGACAATCCTAAATTTAAAAAATGTGTGTGTGGATTAAGAATTTCTTTAGCAGATGTGTGACTTCAGACGATTTTATCTTCTCCCCCTGGCTCGTGTTTTTGACAACTTTCCTGCCCCAAGATTACACTGGAAGAATCTTGAAAGGTCAAGGGAGCTGACAACCCTCTGGGAACCCCACTATGTTCTTCTAAACATGCCCACTCACAAACCCACAAAACATCAGTACCTGGACTCTGGCCTCAGGTAGGTTTGTGCACATAGCCAGCCGCTCTCTCATCACCACATCTGGGTAGTGAGTCTTCTGGAAGGTCTTCTCCAGAGCCTCCAGCTGTTGGGCGGTGAAGGCCGTGCGACTTCGCCTTTGTTTGCGGTGCTGGGATCCATAACGTGCCTCCAAAATGATGTCTTGAAATGTACAGCCGTTGGAAGACAAGAAAAGTGGCCAATTTAATTATTGGAATTTGTATGCTGACAGTTGAATGAAGCACTTGCTAACACCAGGTGAACTTACAAAACATTTTTTTCATGGCTTTAGATCTAATAAAACACATACATGCATTTTTCTGGTTAATTGAGGTGTCTGAGGAGATAAAACCTCTGACTAGGAAGCCTGTTCTGGAGGGGGAACCTCTTTCTATGACAGCTGTGGAAAACGTTGAGACTCCAATGCTAAATTTGATTGAAATAAGCCAACCTGCTCCAACATCAGCAGGGCAGGCCACGCAGATGCCCAGACCCCACCATGGCATAAACCTCTTTCATTACAAAACACAATTAAAAACAATGTGGGGAGATTCACCGTTGTAATCGGGAGAGGGCCCCAACATTATGTGTCATGTTCTCCTTGAAGCCAAGGGCAGAGCTTCTGCGGGCTTCAAGGGTGCCATGATGTGCTGTGCCGATCGGTGGGAAGAGTCCATGCAGCTCGAACACAGCTCCCTCTATCTCATTGTGTCGGTTGCAGCTGCATTAGAAGACATACATCTGCCCAGAAACCAGGCTGAGCTGACTCTTCTTTAGTGTCTCGTATGTAGCTCACTGTAGTCTTCAACGCATGATATTGGAGAGCTGTTCTGGGCTCCAGGTCAGAAAAGCACTTAAGCTCACGTGCTTATGTGTGTTTAGTTTGAAAGCACGTGCTTTACGGAGCGCGGACACTCTCCAGCATCTGGGGTGGAAACACCAGCCAGGAACCAAGCCCAGCCCCACTGATTGCAAGCCCAGAACTCATGTGCTGAGCTCTGCTCAGTAGAGGAGCTACTCAGATGGTCTGACTTTACAAACTGTGCTTGCAAAAGAAGAAATTCAGACTGGGGAAAATCTGAGGCTCACAGTAAAGGGCTTATTATTTTACCAGAAGTGTTATTATTGCACAACAGTTAGTGGGAATAGAAAGATCTTAAATCAATGAAAATAAGTTACTTTAAAATGAAAAAAAAAAGAACCCCAAAACAAACAAAAAACACCCTTTATTATGCAAGTTGGGACATGCTGTGCTACAGCGTTGGAATGAAACAGTCTGGCGAGAGGTTTGCTCTCAAAGAGGAAATGCAGGAAGAGCAGTGTCTGGTATCATTTTTAATTCGGTTAAGAATGTGACTTCCAGTAGAAGGGAGGAATGAACACACTAGAAAACAACCTAGCGGGGAGAAAAGTTGGCACTATCGGTGCGCGGAGCCAGACGAAGGCTCTTGCTGCTGTTTGTTTGTGCATTTGTCACGAGCATCGTGGCATGAACGTAAACAATAAAACAAAACCTGCTGTCAGGCCAGCCCCAGAACCACAGAGCCAGGTTCCAAATATGCTGGCTAATGAGCCTAGCAAATCAGCTTTGCACCGCCGAAACATTCCTCTTCCAAACTTCCAGCTGTTTCATTCTAGGTCAGCATTCGCAGCGCTTTTCTGGGCGTTGCCAAAGGAGTGTGGTTTTGGCAATCTGGAGAAGACGTGATCGGGCTAAAGGTCTTCGGCCAAATACAATATAGTGATGGTTGCGTACAAAAGACTTTTGTATTTGAGGTATCAGAGCTCTTCAGGGAGCTAAATCACTAGCTCCTGCTTTGGAGGCAAAGAGACCATCCTTGAAGCGTTGAGACACGGCTCACAGTGCAGCCAGGCCAGAAGGGATGTTCCAGGAGAAAAAAAAATGGAAGCTACCCTGAAACATTTCACAAAGACAACATTTGTGTTTCAAGTACAAGGAATCAGGAGAAAGACACTGGTTAAACACCCTGACTGCGGGCTGGAATATTCCCGAATTTCTAGAGTAGAGGTTAGACCTACCAGCTCCCCGGAGGCGGCAGCTCATGCATTAAGTTCGGCCACTCCGACGAGAGCAAACCAGCAATTATTTTAATGTTTTAACTATGTTTTCAGGCTTTGTGCAAGAAGGAGAATATAAATTGCAGGTGAGGCTCTGCAGTTACAATCAGAAACCTCTGTTTTCTGACTTAAGGTCATTTGCTTTTGTGCTGCTTTATTCTGACTGTCCCTGGAAGGCAAATGAGATCTATAACCGTGCACTGAAAGATATTCAGAAGTAACAGAATGTGAAGCAACTGCAAAGGAACCAGCTCGTAGCTATGTAATGCCTACCCCGCCAATGATAAGCGGACAAGGAGATCGTGGGATTTAATTTGGAAAGTCTTCCAGGTGGGTTATTAATTTTAAAGATAAGAGGTCAGAAAACCAATTGAATCTCCCGGTCAAGAATATGAGAACAGCTTTTATTATTCTATTTTTTTTATCTCCCTCTGCTTTTACCCTAGTTAGGGTCAAAGACATTAAATCCTCCGTGCTCTACTCTAAAAAATACAGGTGATCACAAAAATCTTTCAGGAGGTCCTTGCATCTAGGAAAGGGGCACCTTGAAATCCAGGGTCTGCAAGGCACATTGCAGAGTTCAGGACCATCTGCTCCCCTCTGGCCACCTACATGCTGAAAGGATGAAGGAAGGAGGGGATGGACAACGAAGACAAAGAAAGTGCCTGCCTGCCATCACTCTGCAGCCTGGCAGTAGATTCAGGATTAGAGTCCAAGTCTCCTCGATTCCCTTTTGATGAGGACAGCAACTCTGAGCTCTGCCCTACAGCCCCCCAGAGATCCCTCAGGCCACAGTGAGTGGTCTGAGGAACCATGTTAAGGAGGTCATTCCTAGCAGCTGGGTAAGGGAATATTGCTGGCATGAAGATTTGAGAATCAGATGTGGCTCACTGATTTGAGACCTTTACCACCATGCCTTCGTGGACTACCCACCTAGGAGGACCGTCCTGAAACTTCTGCATCCTTATTTTAAAGTTATCCCACTGAAGTTGTCTGTTTAGATATTTTTTTCCACCTGCTGTAGGCTGGAAGGAGTCACTCCCTATTTCTTTTTCATTTAATATCACTAGAATGCTGTCTTAAAGCAGATGTGTGATTTTCAGACAGTCAGGGAAGGTTGTTTCGTTCTGGGGAGGTCTCTAGAATCACATCTACAGTAACTTTTTGCTTTAGCTGCGGTATACTGGTGGTCAGGTCTGCTCTACCATGTGGCATCCAAGGCCTGACCAAAACGGTGATATTGCCCCTTTGACCATTTGCATTGCATTTGATGATCTCAGCCAGATCTGGGCGTTTTGTGGTAGGCTGATATGTAGAGCAGATATATTTGCCCTACCATACCAAATATTCTCAGGTTTCCATCAATCATTTTTGAACAATTTCCCCTACCACATCATAAAATACTATCTGGGCTTTGCACTTCCTTCTAATGACAGTATTGATGCAGTGCTGTTACACTCATGGCTGAACGTAGAAAACCAGATCAGGTGCTCTGGAGCAGTGGCTCCTGTCCCACCATCAACAATGCTGTGTAAATAACACTCTCTGGGTAAAGTCATATGTGACTTTCTTTGAGCCTAAAAAAGCTCTTTTCGGGAAGGCAAAAGACAAAAGCAGCAGAGATCAAGCCAGCAGGACCTGTAAGAAAGCATCACCCAAGCCAAGGTCTAGGACCCCCAGGAAGAAATAGGCCAAAGTGAGACCCAAAGAAGATCCAAATGAATATTGTTTTCCAGAGAGAGAAAGCATTTAGTTGGACAAGAAATGGAAAAGAGTTGCAAGAAGGGGCAACGCAGAAGAACAAGCTGTGGCCTGGGATGGCGGGAGATGGCTGTTAGGGGCTGCAAGTCCTGGGCCCCTTGGTTGGGGGAATCCAATTCACTGTGTGCTCATATTCATTGCGCTGTTATTTACTAACAAGAAAGTAAAATTTTTCTGCCGTATTTTGTTCATTTGTTGAAACATATTTCAGAGTATTTTTAATTCTCCCTTTTCAGTCCCGTATAGAGGGGCTGCATCCCTTCTCACCCCCAGCTCCCCAGCCGATGTCCGAGGCCGGTCTGCAGCAAGGTGCAACGGTCTGCTGGCAGTGAACACCGGAGGGCATGGGTCACCCGCCGAGCTTGGCCACATGGCTAGCATTCAGTAGCACACCATGCCAGTTGGATATGCCACACTCCACCTCCCAAAGAAGAGTTTCACTCGTTGAAAGCAACGGGTTGGTTTTTTTTGTCTTTTTTTTCCCAGGGAATGGCAAAAGCCGTGAGTTGTTCTTACCAGCCAGTCTCTCTGCCAGGGTGAGGGCATGCACCGAGGGCCGGTAGTCGGGGGCGTGCTGGGCTTGCTGAGCTGCCTGCTGGTGGAGGTTGTACATGGCGCTCAGTGAATTCATGGCGTGGAGGGAGTAACCATTCACTCCGTAGTGCTGCATGGTGACATGAACCTGAAAAACAGCAGCCGGAGGAGAGATGTGCTTAGGAACGTGCTATTCCAGCGTCCCGGTGTCTCAGCACAGCTTTGGAAATGCTGAGCTCAAACTTAAACTGCCGCATGCAAGGCTCACTTCCAACCTCCAACGGGTTCTGGGGACAGGAATCAAAATACCTCCTCTAGACCTAATGCACCAGCGACACCAGTCTGGCTTCCAAGCTGAAAGACTATATCCCACTCATGATACGCTGAACAAAAGTTGGGAAAGTTGGGTTTTTTTTACATACCATAATAAAATGTATCATATTATTGTGACTTTTAGTGAACCAGCCTAGCTCTATCCCAGGACTAGGTGGGATTTTGACCCCATCATTGCCTACAGTGGGCTGTTCTGTAATCCCGTTGCTATAAAGTCAAATAATCTTTCTTATCTGAACCCACTCTTGCATAATTTGTTTCCATTAATTTTTCTCAAGGTTTTTCTTAACAAAACAAAAATGATATAGAAGAAAAAAAAAAAGCACGTGGTGTAAAAGAAAATAAATTTGTAGCGCAATACAACCAAAAATGTTATGGCTAAAGAGGGAATTAAGGTTTGCAATAAATAGTGACATTTCATAGCTCAATAGCAAGGAAATTATTTCAAAAAAATAATGGCTTTTTTTCTTCTGTGGGCTCCGTGTGAAACTTCAAGCTGTTTTTCCTTACAGACCATCTGTAACACTGAGCTAATATTGATCCCAAAAGCTGAGTGATGCTTCAGTCGTCCCTGATATAAATGGCCAAGGGCCTCCAGGACGCCGTTTCTGTAGTTTGTAAGACATAGGAAAGGAAGTGGTGAAACATTTGCCACGAAAGAGAATTTTTTAAAACACCATTTACATCAGGAAGTGACCATCTGGCAAGTCAGTGCAATGAATGGACAATCAAATAATGAGGTCCAGCTGGACTAACTTAGGGAAAGCGGACAGGTTATCTAGGTAACCTCTTAGAAAACAGTTTGATCACTGGGAGGTGGTTCGACTTCCATGATTTTAGGAGAAACCGGATGCACTGAACAGCAAAAATTTGGATGAAAAATTATCTGCTGTTGTTTCTGTACTGAGGAAAGACCTTCATTTTTGCCTGTAGATGATTTATACCATGCAGGACAGACTCTCGGTGAAGAGGGGGGAATGGAAATGAATTGGTCTCCCTACCCCTCATGCTCTGAATTCCCATTCTCTCCCAAACTGCCTTGATGTAGGAAGCACAAACATAGAGTCACCTTGTTTAACATCCAGAGACCAAACTGTAGTTCCTGGGAAAAGCAGCTGAATTTTGTACTATAGGGGCTGGCAGTGACCTGGGGCATGTTGTGGCTTTATCCTTGCCATCACCTCTCCATCACGGCGCCCAGGCACGGAGGAGGGAATCCACGCAGCTGGAGTTTGATCAAACACTCTGCCAGCTCAGGGATCGTCCTCGTTGCTCTGGGATGGCTTTTTTTGACTGAGGGATTTTGTGTCATGAGTGTGAGTGCTGCTTTTGGGACTGTCTTCTCAAAGAGGCTGCAGTAATTACAAACCGGTAATTTGGGAATTTGGCACTCGGCCTCATTCCTGTTTCCCCAAGTCCCTTCTGTTCTGCCACTGCATCATGTCAATGCCAAGAGTGCTGGTGGAGGGAGACAGATCCAGGTGTAGTCACGCCATGAAGATCTGATACACCCCCTGGTGCACCCTTCATCTGCTTTGTGTCTCCCTGTTCTCCCACCCTGGATTTACTCCCCAATTTTTTAGTTTTAGACTCCAAAAAAGATCAATGCGCCTACATAGAATCATAGAATCTCTCGAGTTGGAAGGGACCCACATCCCACCTTGCACTGAGCAATGCCAGCTGCATCCTTATGGCCCATGGAGAATGTTACTGGTCACATCTTTTCCTATCACATCCTATAGAAGAGTGTAAGAAAAAACCCCATTACCTCCTATTTCAAAGTACAGAGATAAAATTTTTGTATGAATAGCTGATTTATTGAAAAATGCATTTAAGGGTGCCTGAGACATAATTTGTAGCTGGTTCTTGAAAACAGGGGAATATCAGATCTACTTTGTTTTATGGTATCCAGGCAATTACTTTGGAATTCAATTTCAAAATGTTTCATTTCAAATTTTACCCTAGTTTTTAGAAAAGCAAAAACAACCCCAGAAAAAATAATAACCTTAATCGATACCTTATTAAGGTTTTATTCACTCTAACAGGAGGGAAAGCCAATGCTACTCTAAGCTGAACCACTGTGAAAATGGATATTTTTTGTTCAGGTGCTGACTTAAACACAAGAATACCATAGCTCTGCTCTGATCAAGCTTAGGGAAGTCATAAGCAATGCCAAAATTGTTTGCTGGTTCCCTGATCAAGGTGAGGGACTTCACATGCCAATAGATTTTTGGCATTTGGATTTTCCCCACAAAGGGTTCACAGTGACTTTACAGCGGGGACATTGCTTTGCTGGGCTGCACAGCTCTGCTGCTGGTGGAACATGCTAAGGGACGGGAGCAAGTCCCATTGACACACGCTTTTGACGTGGCCACAGAGGACATCTCCCATGACCTGGTGAAGACCTGCAGGTCCCTCAACCAGACACTGCCCTGGACGGTTCCGGCAGCATCTGTGGTGCAGCCTCACCCCAGCCTTTGCACGGTGCATTTCTGAAGAACATCATTCCACCCAACCCTGCGGCACAGCAGTGTTCGGTGCGCACCAAGCCGGCTCAGCATGCTGCAGTGCTCAGCCAGTCCCCACCACCAGCGAGACCTCTGCAGCCGTTCGCTGCTTCGCTTTCACAGTCCAGGAGCAGAACTGGCTGTTCTGGCCAACGCAGGCAGCAAAATAGAGGTTTGCAACTTCATTTTGCCTCCTCCCTTCCCACCCCACAGCTTGCGAACGGGCTGGCCAGTTCCACCAGCTTTGGCCAGCAGGGTGGAGGTCTCAAAACATATTACAATCCTGCATGTTTTGTGAAAACCATTTGAGAACACAGAACCTATTAACTGCCCTGGGCTGCTGCCAGACCTCCGTCCTTAATAGTCGCCGGAGAATCCACACCGGGGCTCAGCCTTGCCAGGAGAGACATGGGAGGCCGCGTGTCTTTGACTTCCAACTCACAGAAGCGCCTGTTCCTTTTCTAATCCCCCTTACACGATGTTGGTTGTGTACCAAACTGGCACACGAAGGGAAAAATGCAGGGGGAGAGGAGGCGAATTTTCCCATGTTATACAGCCTTCCGAGGACACCACCAATGATGTTGTGTCTGGAGCCCGGTGTTTCCACTGAAACACTTGCTCCAGGAAGATTTCGGTTTATTTGACCGTTAAAAGATGGTTTTGTGTGTATGTGTGTGTCTGAACAAACTCTTCTGGGTGGCCTAGAAGAAAGTGCATCAAATAAAAAAATAAGGAAAATAAAAAGCAGGGGACTTAATAATGGTGGACTCAGGACGGGAGTCAATACCCATCACAGCTCTAGTGATAACTGCCTGGTGCGCTGCGGTGTGGACAACACACAGACCTTCCTACTCACTTGTGCAGCAAATGTATCATCCCAGATTCGGTATAAAAACTGAAGGAAAAGGAGATATCTTGCATTTACTGAGCAAGACCGTTCAGCCTAATAAGCAAAGTTAACTGAGACCACAAGCAGCTCCTGTTTAACTGTCAGCTCCGAACACACTCCAACCCCAATAAATTAAATATTTAAAAGACATCATGCAGCAATTTTTTTTTTAATGGAGAAAGCCATTCATCAAGCCACCGCTGTGTTTCACAAGCTGTCGAATAGTGCTTACACTGGTTAAAATAATCTTTATATTTCATTAAGCAACCAAATAAGCTGATCCCTTCCCACTGGCTGTATAGATGGCTTTAATTTTCAAAATCTGCAAATGCATCTTTTATGTCTCTGGGTGGCTGAAGGGCCTCAGGAACAGCCGCAGCTGGGAGGAGGATGAGAGCAAAGTTTGAGCTCCTGCTTTGTGGAAGGGTAGGGGCTTGAGCTGCTGTCAATGCAGCTGGGAGGATAACGTAGGGTCCATCCCGAAAGAAAGGGGAGGCCTCCCCCTGATTTTGTGCATCAGAAACCATTGAAGAGTTGGGAGTGGTGGAGAAAGGAGATGGGAGCCGAGGAAAGGTGCAGGAAAACAATAGGTGAGAGGAAAATCTCTCTACAGGGTGAGGCTCGCCTGGGTTTGCCCCTGCCGAGAGCCTGGGGCTCAGCCTGCAGCATTCGCCCAGCGCAGGGGGATGGATGCCTCCGCGCAGTGCCTGGGGCTGGTGCCTCCTGGGGCGGGTGGTTTCCTTCTGTATGGCGCCTCAGGGACACATCGGTGACTCTCTGCGTACCAAAAGACTTGTTGTCTCCTGGCTACCCCCATTCTGCAGCCCCAGGCTGTGAGGTCTCCACGCCGTGCCCCGTGCCGGGCCCTGCCGGGGTTCCCGTTCTTTCTGCCTTCGCAATTCTGGCATCACTACCTCAGTTCCCAAAAACTCTCCGATGGCTTTTACCTCTCACTTAAGTTTTCACCATGGAAGTCTCATTTTTTCTCCCCAAGTGTGCAGACCCCTCAGGCTTGCAGGGGCTGTGTCCTGCCAGGATCCCACCTCACAGAGGGGACCAGTGGTTCCCCTTAGCTTTAACTGCTGCTGGCTGTAAGAAAACCAGGTTTCTCCATCCTCTGCATGGCTTAGAGGTCAGGTGATGTAGGTCTCTGCCCAACCCAGACTAATCTGGAGAGCAGACAATCTTTATTCAGCTGCTGCCATTCAATCTGATGCAAAACTATTTGCACATTTACCAGTCGGGAACGGGAACACTGTTATCCCGGAGCAGAGCTGTATTGCTCCAGCCACAACGTGGTTCCCATCTGCCCCTTCCCAACACTGACCTCAAAAACCTCAGGTTCCCATAAAGTCATATAGCACAAGAGTGGTGCAATTTATTGTACACCACTGAACAGCGTGGCAT